ACAAATTTAATATTGAAATGTATACACACACATACACATAGATTTTTGATATTGTTGTTTTGGGGCTATGCAAATTTCATTTTGGGTGGGTTGCAAGTCATTTTTTTTTATTCATACTTTTGTTAAATAAAAGGTCCTAAGTCAAGAACACCCTGTAGGAGAATAGCAAGCTTCTTAGAATATATTACTATAAATAATACAATAAATAACAAGTTGGGACATAATTAAATTGGGTCCAACTTTGTGCTCAATATCACCCAAACTAGAAAACGGCAGTTTTATTCTCATTTCTCCTGTACATCAATCAACACAATGTCCCAAGCTTTTCTACTAGGTTAAATGTGTTAACCTTCCATCTACCTTTATAGGATTTAGAGATTCTTTATAAAATGTACCTGAAATTGAATAAAAACAATATGTACCTAAAATTGAATAAAAAATTATTCCCTCCTTTCGTTCACAGTGAAACAATGATAAATCACGGCTCAAAATAATTTGATTTGCATAGATGTATAATGAACTGTTATTTTTTGTATAATTTAACATGCTGATAAAGATTTTTTTAAAAACGTTAAAGGTACAAAGGTAATGAATGGTGCTTCTGAAGGTCAAGATACAAACCAGTCACAACAAAACGGGGACACCACAGATGAAAAAAAAGAGAAGCTAGATTCTGGCAATAAAAAAAAGTAAGTAATAGGTTTCCTATCCTAAAAAAAAGAATGAAAATACTTTAGCAATCTTCAAGTTATAAAGTATGCATAATCAACTCATGAACAAGAAAGTGTTTTTAGAAGGCTGCTGATTGTGATAGTATTTTGGATTTGGAAAATAACCAACCGTGCAATACCCTAGTGAAATGTGCATTTTGAATCTTGATTCCATCCTTTTTCCAGTTTTCTTTGAAAATTAGTAGCTATTTGGCACAAGGCAGATCCAAAATCCAGATGTCATAATTGTATTTGTTCTACTATAATCTTAATATTTTCTTCTGTTTTATATAACCTCTTGCTTGCTTCTTCTGAATAGCAGAAATGAAATATTATAGTTTTATTTTTTACTTAGTGCTCTTATACTGTATGTACTATACTTAGATATTTTATAGAACAAACACACTTTTATAAACAAGCCAAGTTATATCTTTTAGAAAGATATAAAATAGTTTTTTGTCTTATTCAAAAGTGAAGTTTTCCATAACTGATACTGTTTTTCTTCTATAGGATGACTGGTGATGGAAGAGAACAAGAAAAGACAAAGGGTCCCACCACTGAAAATGAATAAATGAAACATACTTTTTTGTAAAGTACATATTAAAGAGGACTTAAGGGTTGGCAGCTGGAGAATGCTATAACTTTTAAATAATTTTATAGGAATAATATTTTAATGTGTACAATTTGTGAGGGATACGGAGAGTCTACCTTTAACATTGTTTTAAAGTATTTAAACATCCTGATAGCGTTTGGCTCAGTATTAACAATCAGTACAGTTCAGATGAAAAGAGCATATTATTTTAGAGATTGAAAAGTGTTTATATGTTTCAGGATTAGTTCCATAGTAATTTTACTGACTACTGTATGTTTTACCTTTTGATTAATGATAAAAAAGTAACTTTTCTTTTAAATTGCCAAAATGCTCTACTTGTATAAATCTACTTTATCCCTGTTTTTCTGTGTATAGTTTTCAGAGCTGTTGTTTGCCAAAGTGTCGGTTTACTGTGTTTTGTAAGAAGCTGAGCAAATTTTGTAGCATTGGAGATGTTATGTATGAGTATATTCATTTGGTTTATTAAAAAAGAAGCTAGTTTTGTTCTTCTGAGGTAATCGTGCCAATTTAATATGCCTTGACTTCCTGCTTTCTGTATTCTTAATACTGTACTAAAGATGCTTATGTATCAGTTGGCATTGATGCACATTGGTCACAACATATTGTCTTAAAATGATTTTTTAATTAAAGTTATGCAGGAAAAAACTATACATTTTAACTGGCAATATCTCAGTTGATTCTAACCTTAGTGACCGACTATTGCTATATCAAAGATACATGCCCACAATGACTAGTTTAAAATATTGCTCTTAAAACTTTTTAACAAATTGGGTCTCATTGTCATGTTTAAGGAAAGGTAAAACTGTACAACCTGAAGTAAACAGAGTACTTCTCAAATGAGTCAACAAAACTAGGCAAATATTTCTCACGTTCCACTCCATTTTGATCCTTGTTGCTCTTTACAAGGTTAGAACGTTGTAGCAAAAGACTAAATTATAGTGACTAAAAGTCATATATTTTGCTTCATGGCAAATATGGAGAGTTCAGTCCCAATGTCTCTGTGAGGATTTAAGTACTCTTTCAGTGTTCATTTTCACAAAGTAAAAAAAAAAAACCACTGAAGTATTTGTATTGTAATTGACCCTTAAAGGAATTCAACAAATTAAGTATAGTTTATGTAATTGATGGCTAAAATGTGTTTGACTTCTATTCTTGTCTGTGAGGGATGCACATGTAATCAAAGAAAGGATGTCATATAGACTGTACTGAGAATTCACAGATGTGTGTGTGTATACATCTATGCCAGCAGAACACAGCCTGCCCCCTGAAAACAGTGCAAAAGTGAGCATGATCATAGGTTGACCTGGGGAACTAAAGCACTGAGCTTGATTATCACACAAACAAATCTGTATTTCTTGAGGCAAAAATTGCATTCTATTTCTAACTTTCAAACATTCTATTGCATTTCTTGTAACTAGTTGTTCTAATGTTGCTACAAGGACAGCAGGTGGCACTATTACATTTAAAATAATTGTAATATATTTCACAAAGCATTTTTTTATGCTACAGTACTTCAGAATTTTAAATGTGGAAATGGGAATGTGGTTAGCTTTAACATAATCACATTCAGGCTGTAAATGCTGAAACTCTCCTGATTAGACTAGAAAACCTTGACGACACTTTTAAGAATCCATGTACTTTTGACTAACCCCACAACTTTTGGACCCACAGAGGCTTTCCAGAAGGAAGCCTTTGTCAGTGTTACTCAGAGATGCCACAAAAATTAAAAGTAGTAGTACTCTTGAGGGTTTTTTTAATGCGCTTTTTTGGAATAGGTCATTTTATCACTGATAAAGTTATAGCTTCTGGTTTGAAGTCTTTTCGGTGACAGACAGAAATCTGCGATAGTGCGCGGTTTCGGTCTGGGCTCGCCGCTGGAGCGCCCCGAGCCGGCTGGTTTTGGGGCTAAGCCACCCGGAAGAGGTGGTGAAGAGGGGGGAGACTGCCAGCAGGGTTGAGGAGAGCCGCATCTCTCCTCCTCAGCTGGCCATTACTCCCTTTCCCCAAGGCGGTTGAAGTGATGGTCAGAAATGGCCACCACAAAGAAGAACTCGACTGGAAAAGAATGTGCAGGAGGAAGATAAGTGAAAGTTTTGGCTGACCGGGTTAAATTGTAAAAGCAACAACCAAGGTACCCTGGAATTTAAACTTACAAAAAATAACATCGCTCTCAAAGAAGAATCGGAAGCAGCAAAGGAAAGCGAAAAGGGAAAGGTTTGTTGTTGTTTTTTCTTCTCTCTCCTTCCCTATACTAACAACTAAGAGACTTAAATAAGAAATCGGAAAAATCCGCTTTGACATCAACAGGCAATTAAGCTGAAAATAAAACAAAAAGTCAAAGGGACAATAAAGATTTCTGAACACTATTTTTTTTTTCATAAGCAGGAAGGGAGAGAAAAATAAGGGCAGGATCTGGAAGAGGGAGGAGACTGCCTGGAATTAAAAGGAATCTACAGTATAACTTTAACAAGACTTCTAAAAGATACATTTTAACTGAAACTAACTAAACAGTAACCCCAGGAAGAGAAAGTGAAAAAAAGAGCAAAAAGAAACAGCTTGCGTGTATTTGGATTATTTGGAGATCTTTGGATTCTTGGTTATTACATTTGAATGACTAAAATTAATCGGGTGGTTGTTTAAAAATTTATACAATGGCACTACTTCTGGATGAATTGAAACTGGAACTTAAAAAGTACAAAGAAGATGCGCAAGAAGGGAAGGGTTCTTTTGGCCTCGTCTTTCAATTCTTAGAAAATGGAGATTTGGAACTACGAGAAACAACAAGAAACGTCTGCAAAACAAGAAGACTAGGACAAAGAAGAAGCCATCTTTAAATAAAAGTAAAACAAAACTAAAAGTAAAAAATTACTTTTTAACAAGTAATTTTATGTGGGGAAGAAAAAAGAAAGGGGGAAAGAGAATGGAGATTTTAAGATTTAAAAAAACAACTAAAGAAAAATAATTTGAAAAATAAGTATAATGCTGGAAAGCAACAGAAAAGGGGAATACAGAAGAGAGAAATAGAGGTAGAGAGACAAGGGGGTAAAAAGGGGAGAGGGAAGAAGGAAAGGAAAAGAAGTTACAAAGGACCGGAACAAGATATAGAGAAACGACCTATTTAGAGATAATGGGTGAAAATCTAACTGAAAAAGGATTCTGTAAAGGTACATAAGATGGTATTGTTATATCAGTAATAGAAATAACTAGAAAATTGGAAACAATGTATGATTAAAATGAGGGATAAAATAGTGTAATTTAGTGAAATGTTTGTGAATAAAATAAATGAGAAAATTGAATTAGGAAGGAACGGGAACATTTTAATTAGTCAATGTTTTATAAAATATAAGTGAAGGGGGGGAATTAACTATGGAAAGTTTATAATTGTTCCCATGGAAGTATGATATTTAATTGAAAAGTAATGTTAAAGGAGTTAAGATTTTAATGAATATTAATATTAATGATAGAATTGAATTGAATTGGAATGGAATGTGTTGTTTTAATTACATACATTTATAATTTTTCTTTTTTTTAAGAATATAGTGTGTATTTTAAGAATGTACCAAGCAGAATCTGAATGGAAGTTATGTGTTATATTGAATGTTATAACTTTAGGGTATATATTGAAGCCTAAATAAGAGTTAAATGGATAAACCTAAAAGATATAAAGGCGTCATACTCCAGTCAGTAACTACAGGAGAAATTTTGTTTAATGAAAAAGGATAATAGATAATTGAAACAGGACAGACAAAAAATATAAATATAATGATTTGAATTGAGATGAGATGAGATAATTAAAATAAAATTGAGAAAATTAAAAGGGGAGAAGCTATGTAGAAAATGTAAAACAGTAATAAGATGTGGAATAGAACATAAAAATGAGCATGAAGTTGAATTTGTGTCTGTACGAAGAAATGTAACCCGGGATTACGCTACTTTCAAAAAAGATGCTTTATTTGTATTTTTTTTTCTTTGTGAAAACTCAAAATTTACCAAAAAAAAAAAGTTATAGAACAAATTAATAAACAAAATAGCCATTAAGAAAGAAGGTGAATGTACGTGTCCCAGGATCCAATCTGGATCGGTCACCGAGATCAGTTTTGTCTTCTGAGTTTTGGGACTCATGTTGGAGCCCATCTTCAGTTTAGGACAAACCGCCATTCTCCTAAAGCAGGCTGGGTTGATGAAGCATGTGAATAGCATTACTCCCTGCTGGAATGCATTCAGAACAACTATGTTACTGCTCATAGTGATGTGTTTTAAGCCAAGAGGATCACAAGAATTGTCTGACTGCTGTTGTGGAAGAATTAGCTGATTCTATATCATTGCCCAAGGGACGCCCAGGTGATCCCTACTTTCTTCAGGGAGGCCTCTTCCTTGTCCCCAATGTTACTGCTAATGAAACTAAATGCTGCATTGTCTCATGGTTCATTTCCTCTCTGGGACCTGCCACTCCTCTTTCAAGTATTTCTTGTTCTCTGAGAGAATTTGCCTCGGTTGAAAGCTATTAGCAGAATGCAAGATAATAATTCTTTCCTCTTACAGTGTATTCCAATTTATGTATCTGCTGTTACCAAGGAATACAGCTTCACGCAAGTATGGGAAGTTTAGAGAAACATCATGGAAACTATTTTCTACAGCTTGAATCTACAAACCCACGAGGATTGTAAATACATAGCTCCCTTAGTGCTTTGTATTTATATAAAAATAGGCATACAGTAGGAAAAAAACATGAGCACATTCAAAAGCAATACTTGAGGTAACATTCTTATTTTTTTAACCTTTCTCTTTGGATATATACAAATAATGAGTTCAGAGGTATCAGGCTTTGCACGGAAAGAGACCTAAATATAATGTCCATCCAATTCTCATACTGTTTTGGAAATAAAAATATGACCAGGAAAACTGGTAGGTTTCAGGTGACAATTACATAATTCAGACTTAAGGATTTTGCAATAAAGAGCTGAGAAGACAGCCTGGTGGCTACTACTCGGCCCCAACCTACATGAAAGGTAAAACATAAGGATGCTACTCTAATATTACTTCCTGGCTGAATGTCAGGAAAGAAATGTAATCCTTCTCCAGCTATCTTTGATCCTCTGCAGTAGGTGGGTGTAAGTGGAAAAGCTGCTCAATAGCTGACTTTTCCATCAAAAGCATAGGTTGCAATAATAAAAGTGCTATTTCTTAAGTTTCACAACTACGTCTTGCCCCCACCACCTCCCAATAGAGCTTGCAGTAGACTGGATGAAAGCACAATGCAAGAAACACATGAAGGGGGACAATGGGTTTGAAGACACAAGAGTATATAGCAGGTGTATCTACGGAGTCATGGGAAGGGGGGAGGGGCAGCCAGGTAGGAACGCCTTTGGTGGGCCGGCAGGGGTACCGGGGTGAAGTGGGCAAGGCCAGGCAGCTGTGGCCAATTTTTCCATTGCGGTCCACAGGACAGGGTGAAAAGAAGGCGATGCGATTGAGATTCTGCTTGTTTTTTAAACGTGTCGTGTATATTATGATCATCCTGTGGACACCTGCAGTACAGAAAATCTGAAATCACACAAGGCCTCAAACCAAAAGCCATAGGAGGAAAAGCTGAAAGAGCAGCATCATTCGAGAGAGGCCCATTTCTGAAATTGTTCCAATCTGCCATTCAAAAGCTTTTCTCCAAAGAGCAGAACTTTGTTTCTTAAAATACAAAATATTCCGTAGACAACATTTCTTTCGTCCACATCGGATATTATTGCCCAAAAAAGTATAGACTATGAAGGCTGAGGATATGCTGGTCTGACTCATAGTCATTTCCATGGAAAAATGTTCTGATTCAACATTTTCTGGGAAATTCTCTGCCTGGGGACTGCCCAAGCCGAGCTTTTATTGTGCAGAAATAAACGTGTTCTTTTATTTATTTTTTGCTTCTTGCAAATCAAGGAAATAATAGATTTAAAATAAGATAAAAAATGTGGGAGGAGAATTCTAGAATCAACAGGGCAGAGTTTGATTTTTTTTTTAAAAAAAAAAATCCCATTCTCCTAACTAAAAAAAGTTTAGACAGTTTTGGACAGTTTAGAAACATGCTATCTTATGGAGTGAGTGGAATGCTTTTTAGGCCAGAATTTATTTATTCAAAACATGAAATATGAAGTCTAGAAATGCAACATTCAGAAAAGGAGCACCAGGCAATCTGCTGCTGCTGAAAGTCTCCTTCTGCAAACCTTTGCTTTAGTTTGAAACTCGAAGCATCTAATCTGCAATTGTTCTTTGGATGAGGCCTCTTTCTCCCCTAATAAAGGTACCTTTTCATATGGCCATGTAAATTGCCACAATAATGTATTCGAGCAAGCAATGAATTAGGCTTGTTAGAGTGAGCTTCTCAATCTGCAACTTTTAAGATGTATGGGCTTCAATTTCCAGAATTCCCTAGCAAGTTGACTCAAGTCCACCAATTTTAAAGTTGCTGAGATTAAAGCAGGACGGCTTTAGAGGATGGGAACAAAAGCAAGCGTAAGAGCCAGTATTGTGGGGTGCAAAAATCAGTATATTAAGCCACACTTAACCAAATCCCAGAGAAGAAGAATGCATTTAGCTGAAAATTCTGAATAGAGTTCTGTGTATTAAAAAAATACACAAGGAATGCAATCTTACAATGCTGAGTTATAAGTCATGCACTTACCTTTGTAAACTCAGGACAAAAGTTTCATTTTGCCAGTACTGTAACATGGTTCTTTTGTCCCCGTTGCATTATTTTGCCCCTCCCCATTTCAACCAATACGGGAATTTAAACTTTTGTTTTAAACAGGTTTAAATTGCCCCGATATCCACCATATTTTAAGGACGGAGAACACCTAATCCTAAATCGTCACAGCATAAATATGATGAGTCAAACCAAAATGTAGTCCCTCCCCTGATAATGGACCAGATTTTTATTTTTATTTATTTTGGTTTGTCAATCGTTTACAAGATAATAGGTATGTATATACATAGTTATGAATACATGAAATGGATACATATAAGAAAAATAAAAAGAAACAATAGGACAGGGACGGTAGGCACGTTGGTGCGCTTATGCACGCCCCCTACAGACCCCTTAGGAAAGGGGTGAGGTCAATAGTAGACAGTCGAAGGTTAAATCTGTTAAATCAGATCTGAAGAGAAGAAGAAATTTTTTTTTGTCACAATCTGGGCTTTGATATTTGACCACTTAAATGCTAACATCATTAAACAAGTGGCCAAAACACAAATCCACAGCTGGTGGGAGGAAAATTTAATTAGAATTTGACAGCTGGGTCCTCTGGTTGGGGAGACTCAGAGGAATCATTTCTTCCTTAAATACAAACCAGACCCAGCTGTTCCCCATGGCAGCTCCTGGGATTGGTGGAATTAAGAGTTGTAATGTTTTCTATCCAATTTATTGTTCAATGTGCAAACCTGATGCAGGAGTGAAGGTTGGGATGCAACAGAGTCAGCGTAACAGACACCTACAGACCTACGCACACATAGTCTTTAATAGTGGCTGATCGGATAGAAATGATTTGCAAGCCCTATTTCCCCAGTTCATACTCTAGACTTGCAGATACTGGAACATGTACTCATTTTGGATGTTCTCGGGATCTAGAACTGTGGGTGATTTGCAACTCAGATTTTTCTTTTCGCTGATTTATCATGTGGCAGCAAGTCATTTTTGAGTCCTAGAAGTTGCCTAGATTTTCTCCACAATAATCTATTCCTAACCTGGTCTTTCAGGTTTTCCAACAGTGCACTCATCACCACTGTCGCTGAGTCCATCCACCTTATTCTTGGTCGTCCTTTTGTTCTTTTTCCTTCCACCTTTCCCAGCATTAGAACCTTTTCCAGAGACTTGGGTCTTTGCATATTGTTTTCAAATAAGGATAATTTGAATGTGGTCAATCGTGCCAGGCTGAATGTACATTCTGGGTCAATTGGTTTGATGTTGTATTTGTAAATTTCCTTGGCTGTCCACAGTATTCTCAGGTTTTCTCCAACACCGAAGTTCAAAAGAGACAATACTGGTGCTATTTTGCTTCTTCAAAGTCCAACTTTCACTTCCATAAAGTGTCAGGGGAAATACTGGTCTTTGTGGGTATAGATACATCACAAATTTGGAATATCTTTTTCCAAGGCCTTAATGGCTGCTCCACCAAATGGTAGTACACGCTACAATTCTTGACTGTTGTCCTTGGTTAGTAATGGGACTTCAATAGCTGTCACTAAGCAACGAAGTCAGAAAGGACATCACATGACTGAATGGCTTAGCAGCAACAATTCCGTCACTCCCCATTGCTGTTGTCATGAAGCAAATCAATTTAGGTCAGGTGTCACACACTGGCCATGCCCACCCCGTTTAGTGAAGGGGGAAAAAGTTGTGATGTCACGTGATGTATCACCAGTTTGACACCACTGATCTAGGTTATCAGATGATGATCTCACATAGTTGCCATTTTTAACTTGTGCTGGCTTACCTATAGTTTGTTTGTCGGAAGCCAGCAAAGGAGGTCACAAATAATTGACACCATGATGGCAGGAATCCCAAGGACCAGTCACAAATACCACTCATTCAGCACCATTGTGGGCATGAATGGGTTGCAAAATGAGTGGTTGTTAAACAAGGACCACCTCTTCTGTTTTTCTTTTAGCATAGGAGTCAGCCATTTTATTCTGACTCTTTATAGGGTT